GCATTCAGTCTCTGTGCTAAGCTAGGCTAACAGTTTCCTCTTGCATTCAGTCTCTGTGCTAAGCTAGGCTAAGAGTTTCCTCTTGCTTTCAGTCTCTGTGCTAAGCTAGGCTAACAGTTTTCTCTTGCTTTCAGTCTCTGTGCTAAGCTAGGCTAACAGTTTCCTCTTGCTTTCAGTCTCTGTGCTAAGCTAGGCTAACAGTTTCCTCTTGCTTTCAGTCTCTGTGCTAAGCTAGGCTAACAGTTTCCCCCTGCTTTCAGCCTCTGTGCTAAGCTAGGCTAACAGTTTCCCCCTGCTTTCAGCCTCTGTGCTAACCTTGGCTAACAGTTTCCCCCTGCTTTCAGTCTTATGCTAAGCTAGGCTAACAGTTTCCCCCTGCTTTCAGCCACTGTGCTAAGCTAGGCTAACAGTTTCCCCCTGCTTTCAGTCTTATGCTAAGCTAGGCTAAATTCAGAGACGGATGAAACGTGACTGAGACGTGTCTCAGTGAAATCTTGGACTGCTCCTATCTGTAAAAACTAAAGACGTGATTAAAAACATGAAGATAAAACTTTGTAATGTTCCTTTAGAGTTACTGCAGTTTAGTGTCTCTATCAGCTGAGATCACTGTTCAGGACAATCGTCTGTCCCCAGAGGACAGACAGTCTAAATGTCTCTGTACACAGTCAGAGGGACGACTCACAGTTAGGACACTGATTAACGAAACAAGGTACATTGATGAAGACCGTTAAAGACAGTCTGTCCTCAGGTCCTCAGGTCCTCATGTCCTCAGTGTCTCGAGTCTCTGGTCCATACGTCCACATGATTTAGTCTGTCTCAAGTCTGAGTTTGTGAGGACAAACAGGAAGTGACTGCTGACATGGGACACGTTCGTGTTATTATCGAAACACTGACCTGTGGGCTTCACCAAGTGTTTTCATTTACACACTGTGATCCTAAAGTCCGGTCGAGTCACATCAGGTCGAGTTACATCAGGTCGAGTCACATCAGGTCGAGTTACATCAGGTCGAGTTACATCAGGTCGAGTCACATCAGGTCGAGTCACATCAGGTCGAGTTACATCAGGTCGAGTCACATCAGGTCGAGTTACATCAGGTCCAGTTACATCAGGTCGAGTCACATCAGGTCGAGTTACATCAGGTCGAGTCACATCAGGTCGAGTCATTTCATGTCTATCAGAGTCAGAATAAGTCCTTTCAGTTCAAGTTGAGTCGAACGTGGTTGGTTCTTGTTGTGTCACGTTGAGACATGCCAGGTTGAGTCGAGTCATGTCAGTCTGGGTCAGGTCAAGTCCCTTCAGGTCAAGTGGTGTCAAGAAGACTTGAGTTGAGTATGGTTGAGCTGAGTCATGTCAATTCGAGTTCCTTCTTTGTGAAGGTTGCATCAGGGTCAAGTCACGTCAGGTTGAGTTGATTCACATTTGAGTCAGGTCGAGTTGCGTCAGGAAGAGCATGGTTGAGTCGTGTCGCATCGGCTTGAGTCCCTTCAGGTCGAGTCATTTCATGTCAATTTGAGTCAGGTCAAGTCCCTTCAGTTCAAGTTGGTCGAATCTATGCTAGGGTGTTGAGTCAAACCAGGTTTAGTCGAGTCATGTCAATTTGAGTCAGGTCGAGTCCCTTCAGGTCGAGTCCCTCCAGTTCAAGGAAGAGTCAGGAAGAGTTGACTTGAGCATGGTTGAGTCATGTTATTACAGGTCCCTTCAGTTCAAGTTGAGTCAAGTTTGGTTGAGTAAAGTCATGTCAATTTGAATCAGATCGAGTCTCTTCAAGTCAAGTTGAGTTAAGTCAGGCTGAGTTGTGACATGTCTGTTCAAATCTTGCCAAATCCCTTCAGGTCGAATTAAGTTGAATATGGTTGAGTCGCGTTGCATCAGATCAAGTCCCTTCTGGTCACATTGAGTCCTGTCAATTCAAGTCAGGTCGAGTTCGATCAGGTCATGTCGACATGAGAGACTCCCTCATGCTGTCACAGTGTTTCCACTGTATAACTATAAGTACACTCTTATAATCTGTGTCAGGGTTATAAAAATAGAATCTGAAGCTCGCCGCAGTAAACACACACACACACACACACACACACACACACATGCACACACACACACACACGCGCACACACACACACACGCACACACACACACACACACACACACACACACACACACCAGGTCAGACGCTCTGCAGTCTGTAGCGGAAGAGGACGTCCTTGGAGGGCAGCAGGATGCCCAGTCCGGCTCTGCTGGCATCCAGAGTGACTCTGTCCTGCCCCGCCTCCAGCTGCAGGTCGAAGTAGAGCAGCAGGAGACACAGGAACTGTTTGATCTCGTTGATGGCGAAGTATCGTCCGGGACACATGGACGAGCCGGAGCCAAACGGCATGAGGTAATACTTCAGCCTCTGACCGTCTTTGTAGAAGTCTGTCTTCAGCCGGCCGTCCTGCATGTAGCGGTCGAACCGGAACGACTGACAGAGACAAAAGGGGGACAGACAGTTCGTTAAACTGTGGCAGTGAAGACAAGCTGTGAGGACAGAGGACAGACAGAGCCTCGTCTCAGAGGACAGAGGACAGAATGATGTCACATGACTGAAAAGATGAATGATGAGTTTAAGGTGTTTTTAAGGTGCGTGGATTTTAGTTTAAATATTTTTTAGCATCAAATCAAATTTTGTTCAGTGTTCAGATATTTAACAGGTTCAGTCCAAATTAATGGAAACAATCATGATTTAATTTCTACATTAAGGAGTTTTTATAAGAGGAGAAAACCCCTTAAAACTGTACAAAATAATATTTCAGGTCCCCTTATTTGCACCTTAAGTTTTCCCATTAAGGTTTCAGATTGGGGGTGTAACTATGAGGTGAATTAATGGACAAATTATTAGAAACATTCATTATATAATTTAGGCTAGCACACCTAATGGCAGACGGCGCCCCAGACTAACGTCCAAGAACACAAAATTGAATCCACAAAATATCTCCATACTGCTCATCCATAGTGATCCAAGTGTCCTGAAGCCCCGACATAAAAAGTTGTTTGGAAAAACGTCATATGAACTCTGTTTTTAGCCTCACTGTAGCCTGTAGCTCTGACTGCTTCTCTGTGCTCCGCGCTCACGTGTGCGCGCCTGCGCGAGACCAGCGAAAGCCGTAGTGCAAAGATAATTTGTACTACGGTCTTTTAGCAAAGGACAGCCCAACATGTCTGAAGACTTTGAAACTGAAGAGGAACAGCATTTCTTTGTTAAGCCGAATTTATTTGAGCCCGAGTAAAAAGACGGAAATCAGGCTACTGGACGAAGCAGCCGCCGCAGCTCATGAGCCTCAGCCAGCCGCAGAATACCGGAGTCGAGCACTGGAAACCTGGTGGTGTAGTTGTTTCAAATGCAAAGCAATGCCAACGGATGAGGAAAGTCTTTGCTGCTCAGACTGGGAATTGGCGATGCCTGCACTTGAGAATCTGGACATCAGTACTGACGAGACTGCTGTTCTTCAGAGACCGTGCATCACCGATCACCCTGAGCGCGCACACGTGAGCGCGGAGCCCAGAGAAGCAGTCAGAGCTACAGGCTACAATGAGGCTAAAAACAGAGTTCATATGACGTTTATTGAAACAACTTTTTATGTCGGGGCTGCAGCACACTTGGATCACTACGGATGAGCAGTATGGAGATATTTTGTGGTTTCAATTATGTGTTTTTGGACGTTAGTCTGGGGCGCCGTCTGCTATTAGGTGTGCTGGCCGCTCCCCCCACGATCTCTGCAAGTGATGTGAGGACTCTAAAACTTCACCAGGGCCTCTATCGGCATATGGGTGAGGAGATAATGGCTGAATTTACATTTTTGGGTGTACTATCCCTTTAAATTTAAGTTGAAAATATGAAGTTAATTCCTGGAAAAACTGACGGATAACAATATACCTTATCATATTATTATCATACCTAATACCTGCACAGGTTAATGTTTTTTTAAGGAGTGAGAACGTCTTAAAATTGACCAAATAAATGAAAAATATCTTACCTTATCATCTTAAATAAAAATGTATCCCTTTTTTAATTAAAGGACGGGTTTCATTTGTTTTCTCCAATTTATACCCTCAAAAAGTCCATTAACTGTTCAGTTAACTCACACACACACACACACACCTCCGTGTAAATTCCCCTTAAAGCAGCCGACCTTCATCATGTTTGATGAGTAAAGGGAGAGTTTCGGTCTGACAGTGTATCAAAGTTCATCATTGATTAACGATCGATCAGTCGTACCTGCGGCTCCTCGTAGATCTCGGGGTCCATGTGCATAGTCTGAGGGTAGAGGGCGATGAAGTCTCCTTTCCTGACCGCCACCGAGCGCTTGCCGTCCAGCTTCAGGCTGAAGTCCTCCTGAGCAACACGGATGTTTATGGAGGCCGAGGACAGGCGGAGGCTCTCGTTGATGGCGCTCTCTGTGAAAGAAAGTCATGTTTCTCAGAACAGGAAATCAGACATGTTCCTCAAGCTTCACCTGTACCACCGAACACAGGTGAGACTGAGCAGAAGCTTCGGAGGAAAGTGACGTACCGAGATAAACCAGCTCCTCCAGCTGCTCTCTGCCAAACATCACATCTCTGTCGCTGCTGAACTCGACTCCGCTGAGCCTCAGGACGTCGTGGATCTCCTGGCGGACGACCTGCAGAGCCTCGGGGTGACTCACCAGGTAGTACATGGCCCAGAAGGTGGCGGGGACGGTGTTCCCCACAGACGCCCACAGGATGGCGAAGTGATGAGCTGAACGTCAGGAGGAGAGGAGACGGTCAGAGCTCGGAGGAGACACAAAACAAACGCTCCAGAAGCGCACAAACATGAATGCTGGGAATATTTTTTGACTTCATCATGACAGAGACTGAAAACTGAAGAAATCTGGATGTTTGTACTTTTTGTGTGCGTTAATAAAACTCAAAGACGTGTTGGTGACATCACAAACAGAACTGATGTTTCAGCTGTACCAGAGTATCGTATCAAATATTCATTCATTCATCTTCCTTAACGTGCGGCAGACAAAGTGCACACACTGTTCGCAAAGACACTGTTGCTGATTGGAAGGATCGAGAATCTCCTTGAACATGACGTCACGGCTGTTTCACGTGGCGTTGCCATGACGATCAGCTGAAAATCCTGCCTACACTGAGGGTGAACTATCTGCAGTAGAAATGAGTCACATGACCACACCTGCTTTATCGACGTCCCTCAGCGCGTCGTACTGCTCAAACACCTCCGACCGCGTCCTGATGAACTGCGACATGTTGGACCAGTACGACATCCTGTGGGGCAGGAAGTAGTTGATGAGCTTCTCTCGGATGGCCTTGGTCTGTCCCAGCAGCCAGATGGGGATCTGAGCGATGAGCAGCGGGAACATGTTGTCAAACCGGACAAAGTCCTCCCTCAGCACGCCCATCCCGCTGTGGCGGCTGGCGGACGCCGGCCTGCCGTACATGGTGAGGAAAGTGGCCTCGAACATGATGGAGTTGCAGAACTCGTACATGTTGCTGCTCCTCCAGCCGCCCTCGCCATGCGGCTGCTCGCTCAGGTGGTCCTGACGCAGCACCAGCATCAGGTTACTCATCATGCTCTCTGTCAGGGCGGACAGGTTGTCTCCCTGGAGGAGCTGGAAGGAGCGGCTGATCTTCTCCTGCAGGCCGGGGTACTTCCTGCTGATGACGGGCGGGTAGCCGAAGGTGACGGGCGCCACCTTACCGGAGAACTCGTGGAAGTCCAGCTGTCGGCCATGTTTGATGATGTTTGGATACAGCAGAGGGTCCATGATGAAGGTCATGTATTTACCTGCAGGGGAGACGACACCTGAGTGAGGACGGACAAAATGTCTTCATGACAAAAGTGTGTGTGTGTGTGTGTGTGTGTGTGTGTGTGTGTGAGACGAATGAATCTGGACTCTCTTCACTCCCACAGAGAGACTCTGACTCTCTGATCTGACTTCATGTTGTTTAATCATGTTTATATTTATAATTATGGAATAAAACTTCATCATGTTTTTATCAACGGTTTAATTTTGGTATTTATCTGCTGTGTTGAGGACAGGAGCTCTGTCACCGTCATGTTTTTAAACTTTGAGTTTCTCACAGCCCAGATTTGGTGACCTTGATGATGTCATGTTGTTGACCTCTGAGAGTAACTCTGCTCTACAAACATGTTTCACTGTGTGAACGTTACTTCAGTCAGTGAGCGGACCGTCCGGCTAGTTAAAGGGACACTTTGGGTTTTTGAAGTCGGGCTGTGTGAGGTTCCTATTTATAGTGAGCGTGTTACAAACAGCAGACACCAGTCGGCTCACCCTCAGTTTGGAGAAGCAGACTGGAGTCTGACACAGAAGCTTGGTAATGTGGACGGGCAGTGCCAAAATTAAATCAATTCCAGTTTAAGCGTACGCTGTCTTTGGAGTATTTTCGCTGCTTTATCTTTCTGTCAGAGGAGCTGTTTATGACCACTGTCTCCGTCTACACTCTCATCACAGCCAGACTCCACTGACAAAAACAGTAATTTTAGCTGTTAGTCAGTTTGTGTCACTGTGTGACTGTGGTGAATCTGAATTAACCCTTTAAACACCAAAGTCACACAGTAACACACACTAACAGATGGAGGCAGCAGCAGACCAGCAGCTCTGTGTTCACTCATGTTAAATCACTGGTTTTCTCAGTGGAGTCTGGCTGTGAGGAGAGAGTGATGTAATGGCTTCAGTTTCCTGTTGTAAGTCAGTCTGACATGATTCAGGTGAAGCAGTGAAAATATTCTAAATACAGTGTGTATCTGAACTAGTTTTGTTTTTAGGTGGCTAACATATGTTTAGTTGCCGCAGCAGTAGGTCGCTGAGCGTCTCACCTCGTACAGCCCCTAAAACAATCTGACCTCTGCTTTGACCTGGCAGTCGGCCTCCGGTGAAGCAGCCTGTTGTGACAGTACGTGTCAGAGGTTAAATACCAACCTGCGATCTGTACTGTGAAAATGTCTCCGCACTTCTTCTTCTGTTCTTCCAGAAATGTGTGGGCATCTTGTCCGAACTCCAGAGCCTTCCCAATGAAAGGAATCCAGCCTTTAATGAGCGGAGGTTCACCGTCTCTTCTGCAGAACACACAGAGACACAATGTGTTTCACAGCCTGCTTCATGAGCTGTTTGACTTCAACCTTCTGAACCTGAACTTTTCTCAGGATGTTTGTGGACTTTTGATTTAATTACTGAACAGTAACCACGTGCTGTTTGTGTCCGGCAGCGTCTGTGAATCTGCCCATGGACTCCATGTTTCATGTTCTGTGGTTAAATGAGTTCTGTTTTATTCTGTGCATTGAATTCCATTGTGTTCATTTACAATGAAAATAATTGAATTGAAACCAAACGAGCTGGAACAAGAAGTAACCTCAGACTGTACACACGCCCTCGTCTTTAACTGACCTGAGATCTGAAACAAACACCAGCCCTCCTCTCTGCAGTGTCACATATCAATGAACCCTCAGCTCTCTCCCACGTTTCTGTCTCAACACAGGCAGAGGTCAACTTCTTTGTTCCCCATGTTCTCACAGTACAGCTGCTCCCATTATACATATGTGTGCACACATATATATATATATAAATAAATATATATATGTGTATGTATACAGAGAGAGACAGAAGCCACAGATATCAAGACAAGACAGCACCATGCATGGAGGGTTCCAGCCCAAGTCCAGCACCCTGATACACTAAGAGGAAAGAGGGAGGCCGAGGACTAGTGAGCATCAGAACCACTATCCAGGATCAAACATCCAAAATCCAGGAATACGTCAGGAAGACGGCCCCAAAGGACGAGCTGCTAAGTGAATGCTTCAGGTAACAGAAACCTGATGAGGGCAAAGAGGTGGAGCAGCAAACAACATGGAGGGACAAGTCCCTACATGGTGCATACCACCGTCAGGTAGAGGAAGTGGCTGATATCAAGAAGACCTACCAGTGGCTGGAGAATGCTGGACTGACAGACAGCACAGAGACACTAATCATGGCCGCAAACATCAAAGTTTTAAAAATCTAACAACTCATTTATGGTGGAGGGAGTTTCACACAGCACCACAGCAACCCCCCTCCTCTGATAACAGTCCCTAACTTTAACCATCATGACTGAAGCCCCGCCTCCTCCCAGCTGTTCATAGTTTCTGTAACCACAGTGTAAAGTTGTGGATGGTCCCAACAGAAGCGTTCCTTAGCATCCCCATGTTTGGTCCCCCCTCTGTTGGGGTACCTAGCACACAGATCTGGTACTAAAAGGTGGAGCTAGAAACCCAGCAGTCTGATTGGTCAGTAGAGGACGATCACTCTGGCCTCATGTAACCTCTGTTCATACATCAGTAAACTACAACTATAAAATGAAAGAGAAAAAATCACTTCATTCACTGGGCCGACTGCCGGCAACTTTTAAGGTGGAACGTTAACTTGTAATGTTACTCAATGCATGAGTTGATGACGTGAATCCATCAGCACACCTTAAATTTCACTGTGACAACTTTGACCATCACTTTAGTTTTTATATGACACACACTTTTAGTAATGACTTTAAAAATATAGATGAATTTGGAGCGGATTATGTGAAGGTCATATATTCTAATCCTCACTTCCTGTGGGCTACAGCAACACTAAACCCCTGAGCTTGCCTGAGAAGGACTAAATGCACAAAGCTGCTATTTTTAAATATCCCATGGAGAGAGACTCTCACTGCAGCCTGTTCTATTTTGTTGTGAAAATGTGGGCGTGCAGCCTCGTTCTGTGGACGATAAACCAGGTGCAGACTTCCATCTGTGTCACCGCTGATGAGGAAATACAGCGAGTGCTGGACGGAGCAGTGAGTGACAACAACCCCGCCCACATTTAAGAGGACTGTCTGAACACACCGAGGGTCTAGGTACCATGTCTCAACTGTCACCGTGACCTACATGTAACTGTAAGTTGAACCCTAAAGCCAGGCTTTAACCCTCAAACAGGCCGATGAAGAAGGAGGACCGGCCAAAATGTCCTCACACTGTTGCTAAATGGTTTAGTCCTCACTATGTAGCAGGCACACACACACACACACACACACACACACACAGACACACACACACACACACACACACACACAGACACACACACACACACACACACACACACACAAACACACACACACACACACACACACACACACACACACACACACACACAATCACACACACACAAACACACACACACACACACACACAGATCATCTGTGATATAGACTCTTTGTCTTTGATCTGAACTGAACGATCAGTCGATCAGATTAATCAGCTGTTATTGTTTCTCTTCCAGTTTCAGGTTTGTTTATTTCACAGACTAATAAATAAAGTCTGAAACACTGTTCTAATCACTGAGCTGCAGTTTCACTGATGATTAACTTTGTTATCTTGTTTTACGTGTTTCTGCTGAAAGTGACCACACCTAATGACAAGTCACTGTGTGTGTGTGTGTGTGTGTGTGTGTGTTGTTTAAGAAGTGGGTCAGCAGTAGCAGGACGTCCTCCCAGCAGGATACAAGTCTGATAATCACATTCCTTCACTATAATACACACAGACTGAAACAGGAGGATAGACTCAGGCTCTGTTTACACGACAACAGTTTCTCTAAAAACAGAAAAGTCTGTCACTTCAAAGCAACAGGTTGAACAGCACAAACACAGCTCGGCATTGTTGTTGTGACGGTCAGCATGCCTAGTGACTGGAACCATAATGCACGTGTGTGAAAAGTCTCCGTTTTCAGAGGAACTGCATATTGCATGTTTACATGACAACGGAGACGCTGCCGTTTGCAAAAAGTTGCACTGTGGAACCTGTTTTCAAATCGTTGTGTTTTCAGGCAGCCAAAACGCAACTAAAGTTTGCTGTTTTCAGTTGAAATCATTGTCGTATAAACAGGACCTGTGTGTGTGTGTGTGTGTGTCTGTGTGTGTGTGTGTGTTTGTGTGTGGGGGTGTGTGTGTGTGTCTGTGTGTGTGTTTGTGTGTGGGGGTGTGTGTGTGTGTCTGTCTGTCTGTGTCTGTGTTTGTGTGTGTGTGTGTGTGTGTCTGTCTGTCTGTCTGTGTCTGTGTCTGTGTGTGTGTGTGTGTGTGTGTGTGTGTGAAACAGTGTGATGAATCTAAATACACGAGGGCAGAAGAGGAAGACAGACAGAATGAAAACAGAAACCACAGAGGAAGACAGCTGGGAGACATTACGAGCGGAAAACCCCGCTCGAGTTCAGCTGATCTGAAATCAGGAAAAATCCCCCAAACTGATGATTCACAACCGTTGTCATGGAGACGGACTGTTAAGGGTTAACATGGCTGTTCCCAACACATGGCTCAGGACCCCTGGTGAGCTTTGGTCCGTAAATGATTATCAGAGCTGAGACTGATGCTGCGTTCATTTTGTACTCTGAGATCGGAAATTCCCAGTTCCCAGTCGGAAGTTTAAACTTGAACGCACCCTGAGATCAGATTTCCAACCGCATCAACCCCAACTTACGAATTCAAGATGGCTGCCGGTCACATATATAGTAGTCTGAGTGGGCGGAAGTTCGCTGCATAGATCAGCCTCTCATTGGGCGGAACCCAACCACCTCCGGTTGTGTAGCAGTTTTCAACACGTCCTTCACTAACTTTTGCGGTGTTTGATCTTGCGGGGATGTAGCCATTTTACTGCCATGGTTCGCGTCCTGTAGGTGATATTTTTGTGGACATGTTACACCAAAACCTGTTTCCCCCAGGCAATATTTTTGCAAGCGCACCGTTGCTGTGGCACCGCCCAGAACGACTGTGATTGGTTGAAAGAAATAAAAAAAAGCCTGGGGTGTTTTTTTCTCCAATCTTAAAGTGAGAGTCGGCACAGCCAGACCTTTCTTTTCTTGAGGAAGGTCTGGTGAGCGAAACTACATACACAGTGAGTAAACACTCTGCTACAGTACTGTTTATAGCAACTTTATCTCCTCTGTTTCACATCAGGTCAGCCTCATCTGCGGCGTTCATCAGTTGGAGTGCACGATGGTTTTGAAGCTGTCTATACTCCCAACGTGTGAGGGCAACAAAGGCTTTCTTGCAGGCGTCCATGTTTTTTTCCGACTTGTCCACCGTTGTCAACTAGAATGCAAAAACTTGTCAACTCGGAGGTGACGTCATTCCGGCTTCCGACCTCCGAGTACAAAACGAACGCAGCATGACTCTGACCTGATCCTGATCACAGATGATGTCATCACTGCACCGGTGAGTCTAAACAGGTATTAGTCCTGTTACTGCTGATAATCCTCAGATACTTTGACTTTACATGTTCACTGAGTGCCAGTTTACAACACTTCAGTCTGGAAACACAGACGAGTCTGTTTCCCAAAGATTATTTCAGGTCACCAAAATAATCCCAAGGTGCTTTTTTCCACAACTGACAGTCTGAATCCATCACCAGCTCTTGATCTTCATCACTCTTCATCACCTCTAAAATGCAATAAATTCGCCTCATGTTTTAAAGAGAAGATAGCTGTTATCAGAGCCAGGATTGGACATGTGGACTGTCAAACTTCCTGGGACCTCCCGGGGCCCTGGTCCATAATGTCGTCCTTTAACATGATGTCAGAAGACACCGTGTGCCAGGTGATTAACAGACTGAAGTCCGCTACATGTGCTCTAGACCCCGTCCCAACCAAGCTGTTCAAATCCTGCTTACAGAGACACGTATAATAAACTCCTCACTCAGTTCAGGCACATTTCCCACAGCGTTCAGACCTCAGTGGTGAAACCTCGTCTCAAACTCAGATCACTCAGACTGAAACAATTACAGACATGAATAACATCTGAAATAAATAAAGTGCCTGTGAAGTTTGGGGCACATTGAACCCTGCAGATTATCTGACAGAAATGATGCACTTCACTTTAGAGTTAATAAAACAACATGTAAATTATAATTAAACTTCAGCTGAAATGAGGCATGTTGCTGCGTGCAGTATGAATGTGAACCTGCACATTATCTGACAACAACTCTTAAACAAATAATATAACGTCTCAAAAAGATTCATTGCTGCTGAATTCATGTTCTAGATCAAACCGTGCTGGTTTATGAGAGGACGTCTCTCCAGTTTAAAACTCCAGTCTACTGGAGCATTACCGCAGGGAGGGGGACTGCTGTCTAACGGCTCTGTAGCTCCCACTAGTGGCGGGCGGCTGCATGACAGTTAAGCAGCCTTGTACATGAATAAAACACTAATTGGTTTAACTGACTGATATCTCTGGTGCCGACTAGCGAGGGGGCGGATGATTAATCGATTAGACGTCTAATCGCACACATCCCTAACAGAAAGGTCACAGTCTGGGTACGGAGCGGACCTCAGCACAGAGAAGGCCCGACTCAAGGTTGTAAATGATCTCTGAATTATTGTGGATGAAAACAATGTGGCTGTTCTTCTTCTGTTAGACTTCAGTGCAGCGTTAGATACTGAAAAAGAAAAACTCAGATTCTTTTAATTGGACCAAAAAGCAGCAGCGAGAGAAAACCTGCACTCAGAGTTTTGTGACCTCAGCGAGCACATTCAAACTGATAATAATAACTCAGGAGTGGTTTCAGACTCTGATTTAAATTTTAATTCTCATTTTAACACATTCATCAAAACATCCCTTTATCATCTTCAGAACATCGCTAAGGTCCGACCTTTTTAAACCCAGAAAGATGCTGAAACACTCACTCATGCTTTTATTACCAAACAACCCAAAATGTCAATAAGAAAACTACAATTAAGCCGGATTTATTGACGTATGCAAACCCTACGCCATAATCTACGTCATTGTGAGAATTTACACGTGTGGTGGTGTGTCTGTGTCACTCTGCAGTTACACCACCAAAACACTAGGTGGTGGCAGAGGTTTCTGTGAAGTGCTGTAAAGTTTAGTTGATTCAAAACACACATTAAATACACATTAAACACACATTAAACACACA